GTGCCTGCTAATGTGCTGAGCCGTGGAGCCAAATTGCCATACCCGTAATGATGACAACAGCTATGAATATCATCATAACCATATTCAGCAGTCTCTGCACTACAGCAATGAAGCTTGTTATTATAAAATGTCATGGCAGATCCATTTGAGGTGAACAAGAGCTTTTTATGTTTAAGGACTGGAGCAATTTTGTGCGTTTGCTTATTTATCATCATATAATTCACTTTTTGCTCACCAAATAAACCTTCAAAAATCAAATCAGCCATGCTAGAGCATCATTTTGCCTGTATGAGACTGTCGCAGTCCCCTGTACTGGTAAGCACTACCTGAGCCACTATGGTGGAACCATAACCTTTTTGCTCAGGATGTAATGAGAACTCATGAGCGTCTAATCAGATCTGTGTGACCTTCCTCGAGCCCTAATCATGATGGCTGGCAGTGAACACACTGATAATGCACTTCACTCCCAGTTATCAACAGATCCACACTCCCCTGTAGAAAGGTGGCAGAGGAGGTAAAAAAATAAAAAATCAGTTACTCAATTTGAGCTCTTGATCAAATAACAAGAAACGGGGAAGGTTGTGTTTGTCTAGCTTGTCTATTAAAAACTCTCATTTCATGCTGCTTTGATGCAGATATTTTTTTAATCAGACTTGCTAAGTGATCTTGAGGGTCATTTCCTTTAGATCCCCAGTCAGTTTTTGATTTTTAAAGATTGCCAAAGGAGCTTAGTTGAAAATATTTTTGACAGTTTTGTATGAAAATGTTTTTTTCACTGCACATTTAACTTTCAGCTTTTTATTTGGCAGGTGTAATTGCTAGACTTGGCTCCCCAGGTTTTTTGGTTCTGTTACAAGAGGCAGTTTCTGCAGAAATACAAAAATAACCAGCTTTTCTAATCTTCCTTATGAATCTTCTTTTCGACCATCTATGTTTGCAGCACCGCAACCATCACTTGAGTCTGCCAAGTAGACAGCATCATGCCATGAATATTCATGAATGAGCATGACATTTCCCCTGCTTCCTGTTTATGCCAGTGACTAATGCAGCAGAGAGAAGGGAGTCTGCATGTGCAGATGACTGCGAGGCTTGTGCTCAGGCCTTATATTTATAGAAGGCCCTGTGCTCTGCAGGTACAGGCCAAAGCAAATATTGTCTTGATAAAATTGAATTATGAAAGCAAAAAGCAAATATGACGAGGGAGATGCATTGTGACAGGAGGAAAAAACGCGGATTTACAAACTCAGACATCTTGGATGTAGAGATTTTATGCCATCAAATTCAGTTCATATCTCAGAAAGACATGCAGATTTGAGTATGTATACAGTGGTGTCGCACAATAAAATAAACAACCATCAAAGAAATTCATTTCAAACACTGCACACATTTTGAAAGGTGTTTTTCTTTTTTCATTGAGCTTGTTTGAGTGGGAAACCCAACTCAGATTAATCACATTTTAGTGTGGCCATCTTTGATCTTCATACAAGGAAAATAAAGAATGTAATCCCCTATCAGAGAAATAAAAGATATCGCTCTGACAACGGTGTGTTTGTTCTTTTCAAAGGGTGCATTTTTGATGTGCAATTTTGCACAAGAAGAGACAGAAAGTTCCAAGTGCTGGGACAGCCTGCGGGACATCCAGCCTTCGGGCGCAGCGTGGGTCAGTGTGGAGTCACCCCCTGTGTTCATGTTCACTGCAGAAATGGAGGGACATGTGTGGACTCTGGGTCATCTGTGTAGTAAGTGAAAATAACGACGACTGACAATGATTCCGTTCACGAATAATGTCACAAGTGTAGGCTTAGCAGTTGAGTTGCACCCAACAGCTTTATGTTTAATGTATATTCCTATATATGTTGTCACTAGGCATCAGTAACCTATAGAGAATCAGGGAATCTGTTACACAGGAGTTACAAGTATAACGAAAAGAAATGGCAGTGTTTACAAGCTTTTCACAGTGTCTGACTGTGTCCGTCTGCAGTTGCCAGTGCCCATTAGGATGGAAGGGAGCACTCTGTTCTGAGACCGTGTCTGTGTGTGATGTCGAGCACAGTCCCCCTCCTCTGTGTGCCCACGGCTCCACCTGCATCCCTCTCCCGAATGGATATACCTGCCAGTGCCCCCTGGGGACCGCAGGACTCTACTGCGAGAAAGGTTGCATCATTGAACCCTAACTATATCATTATATATGTTTGTTTGTTTGTTTTATTTATTAAGACCACTATTCAATTCAATGAATGTATAAATGCTCTGTGGTTTTGCCTGTTCAGCTGTGACCATCAGTGATCCATTCTTCAGTGGTAACCAGTCTTCATGGATGTCATTCCCACCCATGAGTATTAGACATAGGACTGTTTTGCAGCTGCAGTTCCAGCCTTTATCACCTGATGGCATCCTTGTCTACACTGCACAACATCTCAGTGCCAGAGCTGGTGAGGACATTCAATTTCCTGTATAAGCCAGCTTTATTTTAATAAACGAATTATTATGTTGTGCATGTTGACATGAAAGAGCCAGGACCAGTATTCTCTCTATACCCTGCCAACATGGTACACATTATACGTACCAATCAGTCTTTGTTTCGACAGTATAATGACAGTGTATGACAGAAACTTACCTCGTGCAATTTTGGAGCACCTTCTATAACTCTAACTTTAGGTACGAATTACCTAAAAACACCAATACCTAAGGTAAAGATTCATATGTTAACAATCAGTACTTGAGCTAAACAGACCTCATTGGCATAAGTTTATTAATGTTGGGCAACTTAAGTAGCAGTATTCTACTAAAATGACTCCCCCCCAAAAAAAACTACTTGCTTACTTGCCTCTAGTGTAGGTATCCCCAGGCTGGATATCACAAGATGAATCTGGAGGGTCTCAGGGTGATTCATACAATAGGATATTGATCTGCTGCTCAAATTAATATTTTTTTTATCTATCTTTCCTCATTTCTTGTAAAATAAAGAACGTTTTCCTTCCCCAGACCTCTAACGGTTACTCAAATGATACAATTTGGATTTTATTCATAAACAACAGATACTGTACACAACACACATATCCACAAAACAAAAAAATGACTAACAGAAGACCAAACAAACACAGATTTAATCCATTACATATAATAAAATAAAACCATAAATAACGTTTAACAAAAAACAAACAAGGTGTCATGAAATTGAAGCATGACACAGGATAAAAACACTGCAAGTTAATATTACATATTTCCATAGTGGTACTGGCCACAAAAAACAGCAACCACTGCTGTGCCTCTGCTGCATTAGAAACATTAAGACAAAGTTGTGATATTCAGACTTAATTATTGCTGGCATTTCTCATTATAAAAATATTAAATCTTTTACCAAGCTCTATCACCTATAACTGCTTTGTTTTCTTCCTACAGGAGACTTCTTCTGCCTCTCCTTGACATCTGGGTTTGTCCGGCTGACATTTAACCTTGGGGATGGCACCCACATCCTACGGTCGGTTAAGCGAGTGGACACGCGAGGCAGGACCTGGCACACGGTGAAGGCTGGCCGATTTGGTCACCAAGGCTTCCTCAGTCTGGATAATGAGGAGGTTAGAGAGAATGGCACTGAAGGGATGACCACCCTCGATGTTACTACAGACATCTTTGTCGGGGGCGTGTCAACTCTGAGCTACGTCTCCACAGAGGCAACTGAAGGGGAGCCAATGGGCTACACTGGTGGTTTGAGAGAACTTATAGTCAACGGTCAAGAGTTGGAGTTAACAGAGACCTGGGCAATAAGTGGAGCAAACGTTGGGGATTGGGATGGGACTGCTTGCGGGTACAAGGTGTGCCAAAACGGAGGCCGCTGCCTGGCAACAGGAAGGGACTCATTCACATGTGTATGTCTGCCGTCGTGGACTGGCTCTGTGTGTAACCAGTCTGTAAGCTGTGTAAACAACAGCTGCAAACACGGTTCCTTATGCGCTCCATCTAGTGTCACCTCGTACCGCTGCATATGCCCCTTAGGATGGGGAGGGAAGTACTGCGACACAGAAATAGCCACAGACACTCTCAAGTTTGTGGGGAACTCGTATGTTAAATACCAGGACCCGAGATACAGCACAAGAAATTTTAAGTACACACGGGTTTCTTTCAGCTTCAACACAAGCTCAAATGACAGTTTGATCATGTGGATGGGAAAGGCTGAACATGAAGATGACGACTACCTCACAGTAGGGATCGAGAGCGGCCACCTCAAGATTGCAGTCAATCTCGGGGAGAGACTTTCCCTCCCAATAACTTTCAGAAATCTCACACTCTGCTACAACATATGGCATAATGTCTCCGTATCTTTAAACGGCACAGTTATTCAGGTGTTACTAAACAATAAGAGAATCCTTTTCGAAGACGTGGACCCATTTGAGCGTTATGTGGCCTTAAACTATGGCGGTCAGCTTTACTTTGGTGGATTTGAATTACACAGAAATGTATCAATAGTCACTTCTGGGTTGTTTTCAAAAGCATTTGAGGGAAATCTCAGAAATGTTTATTTGTTTAAAGATACCAAGCCGCTGCTGCTTCTCAAAGACGGAGAGGGTTTTAATGTTTATGATGGGAATGAATAGTAGTGAAACTTTGACTCATGAAAATTCCCCTTGTGATATCATCTTAAACTTACTGTTACTTGTGCTTTATAACGCCCTACAACAAAGTAGTCCATGAGATTTGTGTGACACTTGGCAGTAGTTAGGCAATGTTTTTAGGGTTAGGGTGGCCAAAGGAAAGTTCACAATAAACCATATTTTACTACTTTTTTCTTCAACACTGTGGTAGCCTGATTTTCGTCTGACTTGTTTATAGATCATAATGGTTTTATCTCAGTTTTAAACCCTGAGAGTCCGTCACTATTTCAATATTAAAGCACACATTTAAAATCATGTCATCTGATGTAAACTCAACTCAATGTTTCTGATAACTTGGCAGACAAGTCTCTTTTTGTAAATAACTTCATAGCAATAGTACAATGTAAATCAGTATTCAGGTTTTACCTTTAATACATTTAGAAAGAAATATGAGAAGTGTGTTTTTATAATCAATAATAAAAAAAGGATTAGCTTTATTACGAACTGTACATAAACACACAGTGCAAAGGCACACCTAGTCTCTAACATATATTACAAGCCAAAATGTACATACTTTTTCAATAGAAAGTAGGTTTATAAAATATTTAAGCAATTTAAAAGAAATGAAGTTGAAAAAAAGCAAAGCTGCTGTTTAGATTGCTGTCCTCAGTTAAATGTTTTCTGTTACATTCATGCCAACTTAAACTTTCCACCAAATGGTCCACACTTGTTTTGTGTGTTACCACAAGACTGAAAACATTTACCGAGCTGTAGTCAGTACAGCAGCTCCATATGAACAAGATATATACAATAAAGGGTTAAAAAGTTGAAAATCTTCTAATATTACTTCTTGTGTGTGAAGAGAAAACATCTATAAAGATCTTCTCAATCTCACTGAAATGATATTTCATTTTGGCTGCACTGTCAAGAACATCAAATGGAACTTCTATGAAGGAAATGGCAATATAAGCTTCAGACTGCTGTGTAAAACAACAAACAACTCCACTATCAGCCAATATAGCCAAAGTGGTTTGAACCAGCCAAGTGACCAACAAGCTAACAGTCTTTCTTAGCGTCCCCAAACACTCAATAGCAGGGCTTTAAAAAGAAAAGAAAAAAAACATAATTATGAGTAACTGTCTTTTGAACTTCTCCGTCCGTTCTCATAATCAGAGTCCCGTCTATGTCTGTGTCTGTCCTTATGGCGGCTGCTGTAGTCATCGCTGTGCTGCCTCTCTTTCCTCTTCTCACCATAACGGTCGTCTGATTGTCCGTGGTGCCTGCTCCTCTCTCTGTACTTGTCATCTTGGCCACGTTCGTGCTTTTTCTCACGTTCCCGGTCATGGTGTCTGCTTTTTTTCCCGTGATGCGAGTCTCTGTGGTGGCTGTGCCTCCCGTAGTGGTCTCTGTCCTCTGCACTTCGCTGCCTCTCCCACGGGTCGCTGTATCTCTCCTCCGAACGCTTGTAGTCTTTGGCCAGGGATGGAGGCCGGCCAGGTGGTTCAGAGTAGCCCTCGGCTAACTGCGATGGAAGTCCGGGAAGAGCGTGCGAGGCGCTATCCTGAGCCCACGGTGTGCTGTGGTTCTGATCCTGGGTGGGTTGTGTGGAGAAAGTGTGAGCAGGAGGGCCGGTTGGGTAGTCGTAGCTGCCAGTTACCTGAGGCTGTTGCTGCTGCTGCTGTGATGGGATAGGTGTTGCACTGTTGTCTACTGGGAGAGCTGGTGCCATAATGGGGTCAGGTTGGAGCTCAGAGGCATCTGTGTAACACGCTGCTTGTGGTCCTTGTACTGTAGGAGGACATACCGTTTGAGCTACTGTAGCACTGGCCTGGGAAATGCCAGGATCTTCCTTTTCACTAGGGAATGATCGAATCATTGTTAAGTTTTCTTCCTCTGGTTTGTTCTTGGCCTGAGAAAGCTGTAAAAATCCTTGGTGAAATAGTGTAACTGGATCATTTCTAGTGCTGCTCAACACAGGAACCGCTTTAGGACTCAAAGGAGCTGGGTGGCTGGCTTTATCCTTTTGTAACACCGTTTTGTCTTCATTCATACTGGAGTACGCTGAAGATTTTTTCAATATTCCACTTAAAGGAGGTTTTGAGCTATTTGTGTGAGCTGAAGTAGCCTGGGATTTTGACAGCGACAAAGAATTCCCTTCAGATGTTCCTTTTTCAGTTTCAGACAAAAGGCCAGCATCGCCTTTGTTTCCAGAGGCAACGCTGCTAGTCTCAGTCCTACTTGGAGCTGTTGACAAGCTTGCCAGGAATGCTTCAGTCGATACATCTGGAGGCTTATCTTTTAGAGAGACTGATGCACCATGGGTCACCACTGCAGCATCTTTTCCTGATGAGTTGTTAGGAACAGATGTATCAGGCAGGCTGGATAGCTCCGGTTCAGCTTTAACAGGTTTAGCTTCTTTCTTCTTGATGACAAAGCGCTCTCGTGGTGCAGCAGCTGTTGGACTTTTTGAGTTTCCAGTTGACACCTCTGTTTTTGGAGCTGGTTGGGTCTTCTGGGTTTCATCTGCTGTTGTTGCAGGTTTACCTCCAACATCTGGCAGAGGTGGCAATTCCCCACCCCAACCTACTAACACACCAGGAAGAAAGCGCAGAGGTTTTTGGGGTTCCTGACTGTTGGTCTCCTCTGATGCAGATGGTTCTTCAAAAGCCTCTGTAATTGGCTCATCAGTATCTTCATTAGTGTTAAGTGGTTTGTCCTTCTCTTTATTATGTGCTGCAGTCAAGGAAGGGAGGAAAAATTTCTCATCCTCATCTGTTGCTCGGGTTTCTTTTGTGGAAATGGTAATGGGCTTGATTTCAGGAATAATCCTTGCAGTTTCATTCACGTCCACGGGAAGAAAATCCCTTTTCGGTCGCTGGCGAATTATGAGTCCAAGGAGAAGGTTGGCACGGTTGTTTTCTAAACCTGTCAAATTAAAAGATTAATTAGGTTTGAAAGAGCAGAAATGCGTGTGTAATTTACCGAGAGAAAACAATTATCCAAGAGAAAACTGGCTTACCTGGCCCATCAAAGGGAACAAGCTGATGTGGAACTTTTTCAGTGGCACCCAAAGGAATGAGATACATGTCCTTCACTTGTTTCAGGTTATTGGACACCACCCCGAAACGCCTGCGACTGCTGAAGTAGGCATACAGAAGAGTATAGGAGATCTCATCCTCCTCCGTCTCAGGGGAGAAGCGAATCAAGCACACCTCCTTAATTAAAGAAAAAAGCATGTGTCAGCAAAATCTACGACGTACAAGATGTTTGACTCTTTGATGGAGCAGCTCTTTAATGCATTACGTGACATTACGAATCTAGATATTAATTGTCTGGACTCGAGCTGATCTTTATCACAACGAACATATGTAATTGTGGGTGATTGTATTTAATGGCTGTATAATCCCTTTAAGAAAAAAAGCTGCCCGAAAACTCACTTTTGTTCCAGTTGCCCGAATCTTCTCCAAGTAGTCCCACACTATCTGTGGACTTATCCTTCCGCCCACTTGAATGCTGTCTGGAAGGTCCTATTGAAAAAGAAAAAAAGATCAAACCTTACTTGCAGCACTTAGTGTCTTAAATACTTTGCATCAGCTATTCAAAGTCTAAATATGTTCAGTCGTGTCCACTTTACCTCCGTCAAGTTGTCCAAAATGCCTGAGACGGGGAAAGCTTTTATGGCGAACTTTGCCACAGCGTGCATATGAATGATGCCGCGCCACAGGGACTTCAGGTTGGAAAGGAAAGCCGCCTCTTCATCTCTTCCAGCTACATGATCCGACCTGGGACGAATACAACAGTAATGAAGAAAGCTTGCAAAAAAAGAGCAGCAGAGGCAGAAGAACCACATAGAGCATCAGAAATAGTCGCTTACCTTCCTTCGTAGCCTGACTGAGCGCTTCGAAAGCTCTCCTCTAAAACGGTGAGGTGCAGGTCGTCGTCCATCGTAGGCGCTGTTGTGCTCTTCGTGTCTTCTGCTTTGGTGGACTGCCTCCTAACAACCGTGGTAGCAACTTTGACCACTTTGGTTGGTGCCTCCTCAACAGGGGGTGCCATACGACCTAGTAACACAACAAGTTGGGAAGTGAGGATAGTGACACATTATGTACAGGAAAATGTGGAAATAAAGGCAGAGCTTAGTGACGAAGATGATTTTTTTTTTTGTCTTGTGTCAGGGGTTACCTGTGCAGATTTTGCAGTGTAGGTCAAATAAGTGAGATTTGTGTTGGCTGGTAGTGTCTTTCTCCGTCTTTGTACTCTCTGTCTTTTTCTCTGGGGTTTTTGGAGGTTCTGCTGAGACTTCTGTCACTCTGGGAGGAGACTCAATCTGAAAAAATAAAGAAAGAAAGAAAGAAAGAAACTCAAACAAACAGTCTTCAGCTTGTTACATATACAGTAATGCAGATGGATATGTGGTGTGTCCCTTACCTCTGCAGGCTCAGTGGCTTTCGCTGGTTCTTGGCTCTCAATTTCAATTTCACCTTTGTGTGTGATCTTAGTGATCGGCCGTCTCTCTGCCTCTCTTTGCTCTTTTTCAATCATCTCAATAGTCTGTGAAATGAGTAATGTATTGCTTATTAGAAGGCAACTTAAAGTTCAACCATCCTTTAAAAAAAAAAAAAAGATAAAAGCGGACAAACTATTAGTATTATGTATTACTATGACTACTTGCTGAACATAACTTTCCTATCAGAATTATTGTGAGCTATCAGGGTGAGTTTATGCGATAACATTTGTGAGAAACTACAGCACAGACTTAAGTATTACTTACATGTCGGTTCTCCCTTTGTCGCCAAGCAGCCAATTCTTTTGAGGCCAGTTCCTCAGGGCTCATTCGAATTAGGTTACCAGGAGAAATTTCCCCTTTGAGAACCCTCTTAAAGAGGACCTAAACAATACAATTAAAATAAAGCAAATGTAACTACATTTATATTAAAACTGAACTGCAACACCAAGAAACAGCATGCCTGATTTGAAATGGTACTTACATTATTTTTAGTATCTTTGAGATTAAACATTAAGCTCCTATACTTGTTCTTGTATTTGTTGTCAGTGTCTTTATACAAGTGAAAAAGCTCTCTCTCCGTCTTCTTGGCAACTTCAGAGGCTCTCTCCACAGAGATGTTCAAATGAGACTCCTTCAACCTAAAATGCAGAAAACATCATGAGTTTGATGAACTGTAATGTTTTTAAAACAATGTTGAATGCAAGGAAAATGTACGTATTTACATATTTTTCTTTTGATTACTTTTACTCATTAAATACTTGCCTCTGTATGAGGATTTCTTTAAGAGAGTCACGCACACTTCGTCTGACTGCCTCCACAGACACAGGTTTCTTTGAAGCTGAAGATGGAGTCTTAGTTTTTATCTCTTGTTTCAGCTGAACGCCTATGAGGACAGAATGACAATATGTAGTGAGCAGGAGGAGGAAATGTGACCAACAGTTTCAACGCGGATTTCTGATACAAAAGTGTAATATACACTGACGCTTGATTTGAAAAATCTAACTTTAGCTGTTAACTAATATCTGAGAAAGGACAATGAGTTTTTGTTATTCTCTACTGCACTGAATAAGCTGTAGTATCAGGCAGCAAGATGACACTGAAATTTAGCATCTTAGGTAGTTTGAAGTTGGTTTGGGTTTGTAATATGGAAACAAACAGCAACAACAGAAGCAACACAACAAAAATATTTGCATCTATTTTAAGAGACCCTTACGCTACAGATACTCTCTTTTTTTTTAGTTTATATAATTCCCACCAGTATTTGTGACTTCCAAAATATCTTCCCTGCTCACTTGATGCTTTGAAACTGAAACTTTTCGAAATATCAACAGTGAGCTGGGAGACAATACTTGGTTTTGTGAAAGTTGTGACAAAAACGGCCATATTGTTTTAAAAATACACCTCCTAGGTATTTTTTTACAGCGGAGGCATGCACCAAGCACATGTTGCAATCATATCTCACCTGTCACCAGCATACGGGCAGCTGTAGCATTCCAGCATTATATTTGGTATAAAAATCTTCAAAAGTGTAGTTTAGGATTATTTTGTGATTGTGTAGCTATATAATTAACAGCCCTTTTTCTCTTGGGTCTTATCTTGAACTAGCAATATAAAAGGTCTAATGAAGTTTTTAATTTTAAATAACAAAAGTCTGTTTTCACCCTATGTATTAAAAAAAATAAAAAACGTGTTCATGATGTTGTGATTGCCTTCATTCAGTCTTGTTTACATATTGTGATAACACTGAACCAGGAACAGTGAACCGAGCCTGGCCTTGAACCCAGTGTGGCATTAAAAACAGAGCAAGCCAAAATAAAACAAACTTAATTTCACATTCACAGCCCCTAAAAAATACCTGTTTTATGAGCAGCTTCCCTGACATCTGTGGACTGCCTTCGATCAGGATTCTATTTTAGGAGAGAAGTGCAAGAAGAACATCAGTATTATTAATACTGACGGTTATTAAGAAAAGAAAATATCACCAAAAATGAAAACGTGAAGAAGATAGCATGAGATATTGCAACACCCCTGGCCAAGGAAAAACAAAAAACTGGGTGAGTTTTATGTGTGGGAAAATGTTACCCACACACCATCAGGTTAACCACACACCCATGTGCAAGCCTTCCGTACAGGGAAAGTAAAAGCAAAGACAACAAACCCTTGTATAGTAGTAACACTGGCTATGATTAATATCAGAGCTGGGGGAACAAATAAAATATCCTTTGTATATGAAAGATTTCAATTTCTTAAATACACGATCAAACAGATTTATTAACGAACTCACTGTTAAATACACAGCTTACCTTTCTTACTGGTCTGACGCCCCCGGATGTGAGTGTCTGGGACGGTCCCGGCCGAGGTTTGGGAGGCACCTTATGATCCTGCACCTCAGTCTTCACTTGAACTTCTGGTTTGGCTGCACTTGGGGGCTCAGGCTCCACCTTTTTGCTTTCCTCCTCACAGCACTTCAAGCACACGTACATCTGGTCCTCCTCCTCCATTTCACGTACCTTTGTCAGGTCCAGACCAACACAGTCGCCGTGGAACCAGTCGTCACAGCGACCGCAGCCTACCATAAACCTAAACAAAGTTTGGCTATTAGTAAGCAGAGTGTAGCAAACAAGCTCCAGATACAGTCTGGCACAGAGCAAATATAACATTAGCTTTCACCTTCCCTTCATTATGTCTATCCTCTCCTAAAATCCCTAAAATATTGCATGCTGAGTAAATGTAAAACTATCAACAGTGTTGTTCACAGTTCTGTAACAAACAAAGTTAAATCACACATACTAATTAAGTCTGAGGAACAAAATAACAATCCGACTTTTACATTGTATAGTACTTCTCTATATTTAAGTGAAGAGCAACACTTACATGTTATTGTGATGCTTTTTGCACAGACCACAGCAGTTGTTTCCGTCCCACACACTCTCGCTGTTGGCAGGTTGCTCCTCAGCAGTTTCCTTCTTCGCAACAGGAGCGTTATCTGGAATAAACAGCTGCGGCTCATCAACAGACATGCTCCTTGCAGTTTTGCTTTTCTGTCTTTGAAGGATCTTTTCTGGCTTTTTCAGTTTGGGCTTTTCCTGCCCTACTTCGTCTGCCGTTTTTAAAGATTGGCCTGGACGGCTGTGCACCGGAGGAGAAGTCTCAACTTTGGAGCTATTGTGAGGATGAGTAGGTTTAGTCGGTCCCTGCTGATCAACACGGCTGCCAGATGATGGGATCTTCTTCACAGAGGGGCTAAGCGTACATGGCGATTTTGGCTTCACTTTGCTATCTCCTGTACCCTGTATCTTTTGCATTTTACTAGCATGCTCACTTTGGGTGCTTTCTGCAAGCCTTTTCAAAGGTGCAATGTCTTTCTTTTCCTTTAGAGGTTTCATTTTGGGCCCTTCTTCTCTTTGGATGATTGTAGATGGCATGTTTTGGGATACTTTATGTGTTTTAATCATGTTATTTGGTTTACCTGAAACCAAGTCCTTATTCTTGTTAGAAGTCAGTCCTTGTTTAGACTTGAGCAGTGTTTTGGCCACAATCTGTTGTTTTTCCTTAGCTTCAGTCTTATTACTAACAGTACTTCCATTATTCTCATTGTCCTGGGTCTGTTTGACATCGTCTTTTCCTTTACTCGCTGGCTTCTGCTTTCCAGAAACACTCTGATTGTCAAGTTTTGTCTCTTGTGTACAGGCACTCCCCGTTAATGTCCCGTTGGAGGTCTGCACTTCGTTAGGGTTCACATACGGGCCCAGCGCAAGGGCTGCATCATCAGCAGAGCTCTTCTCAGTTTTATCCATCTCTGCCACATTCTCAGGTATGGGATTCTGCACATTGACAGCATCACCTGGCACCACAGTATACCCAGCATCACCTGGCACCACAGTATACCCAGCATCACCTGGCACCACAGTATACCCAGCATCACCTGGCACCACAGTATACCCAGCATCACCTGGCACCACAGTATACCCAACATCTCCACTACATATGCTATCGTCGAAGCATGCAGACTGGCCTATTTCAACATTTTGTGCGTAAGAGGGTCCTGGAAGCAATTCAATCTTGAAGCCTCCAATTGTGACTGTCAATCGTCTCAATACAACCGTAGGTTTCAGCCATACTCCACTGTCAAGATCATTAACATTAATACGCCCTCCCAAAGTTAATTCTTTCTTCAGCTGGCTGCCTTTAACTCCTTTCTCAATAAGAAATGACTTCTGTAGCCTGTTCGCTGGTTTCCTTCCTGGCCTTCCTCTGGCCATAGTGTTGGTGGATGTGTTAACAGGTTGTGGACCGCTGCTTTGTTCTGTTTTAGTAATAAGAAACAAAACATAGAAAACATGTGTCACCTCATTATCAATTTGATGGTATCATGTGGTGGAAATAGGATCATAAATGACCATCAGCTTACCGCTCTCTAAACTGCGTGTACGTTTCTTCTGCCTGGCAACCGGTTGCTTGACTTGTGTGGTTTCTACAACCGTCAGTTCATTACCGAGACCAGTGGATGCTGGACCATCATCGAGACCTGCAACAGACAAAATAAGTACATGTACCTTATCTGTTTGTGTATCAATGTGAGAGACAAATTATGTATTAAACAAATAACGCAATGCAACAGTTGAAAATCTGTCATTTTGGCTGACCCTAACATATTTAAAATTAAAATATATATCAAAAAGAAAACATCATTCAACCAGTACTGAATTTACCTCAGCTGCTGTATCGCTTCAACATTTCAAAACATATTCACCGAGAACCATTTAGTGTCATGATTATTGCATCTTAAACACTCATAAAACAGTTTAAATGTGATATCTGATACAGCTGTTGACAGTGAAGATTTTCCCTTACGTATCTAAATCTAAACTCTGAGTGTTTTGTTTTATCAACCACCTAAAAAGCCAAAATAAAATCCAAAAAGGAGCAAAACCATAGCAGGGGAAAGGCAGTGCAGATGAACAAATGAAGTTAGAAAGCTGTTAATGTTTTCCTTAAAACTTCCTATACCAAGTTTTCATTAATTAATTGTGTAGGGCCTTTATTGTGAAGTATTGGCAGTAGCACATTATTTATCTATTAATGAAAGTTTGGAGTCAATTTTAAATATTAAAATATATAAATATAGTATTTTTACTGTCTATTTTCTCTGTTGACTACCTGTTGAGCCAGCAATCTGAAAAGTGGTGTCCTCATTGTCCAGCAGATTGAACTGAGAGCTTGCACATCCAAACATGGGATCTTTGTCACTGAGCATGTTCTTCAATGAATCTTCCAGTTTGAGTCCTGACCCAAACTCATTACCAGCTTCACATTCCAAATTCTGACCTATTATGAGGGACTCATCCAACTGGTCACTGGGTATTAAATGGTTAAAGGTGTCCACAATATCCATGAATGCTGCTGCCTTCCTGCATCAAAACAACACAGACAGAATGTAGGGAAAACAGGTCAAATCACCCATTTTTAAATTCAGGCAAAATTGTTACTAATGCTTCCAGGCAGCTTTATATATATGTGTATATATATATAAATGGGTTCAGGTGACCATCGTGGTCTAATCTGAGCAAGCCAGTGAGGGTCTGAGCAGATATTGACTGGTTTCAAAGTCCGAAGAAGTTTGACAAAACTTCTGACAAGCACACACTATCACCAAAAGTAACAGCAAAAAGTTACTTGTTTATTGTCTGTTGCGGTAAACTGTTACATTAGAGACATCACTGTACATTAGATAAATGTTAAAGTTGTTGGACAAGAGGGCATAGAGTGACACATTGCTTAAAACTCCCCTCCCATCAGCTGTAAATGCTAACTGGTTCGCTGTCCAGCGACGTTCAGCCAACGTTGCAAGCGTCTTAGTTTTTGGCCATTTTCGTGGCTCATTCCCGTTTAAATAGCCAAAAACTGCACACTGCCAGTAAGCTTAAGGTGTGTGTATGCACGTACCAGAAAACTACTCCTCTGGCCAACTTAGAGAACCATCCAAGAGGCGAGGCTAATGTTACACGACCAGCAAGAAAAACGTTTTTAAAATCAAGAAGCTAAGTTACAACTAGCAACACAACCTGGAGCAGGCCAGGGTTGACCAATGCATTAACCAATAAACGCCACTTAAATCTGTTAGCACACTGCTCTTTAAACAAGGTGATCTAATATCATGTAATATGACTTAATGTTTAGATAAAACACGGCGTCTCTGTGGGCAGCTTCTGCCAGTGAGGTGTTCGCTAGGTAGCATGCTAACGTTATAGGACGGCTAATAGCAAGCTAACGGTAACTTATGGAGGAAGTCACCACCCGAGGAAAACACACAGTTTTTAAAACTCTACCACTGTTCCTATGAACAGCATTTGCATCGATAAATATCTGTGCCAGAAAAGCAAAAGACGTACAGCAGAAAATGTGTAAGTATCCAGTCGCACACCTCGATGTTTAATCTATCACACAGGCTAAGCTAGATCGCATTAGCATAGGCCTTAGATACCAAGTTTGTTTGTAGCCTGCGCGCTGCTAGCGGACGTTACATGTTCACGCCCACATGCATCTGTTCCAGCACTTGCAGTCCGGATATCTGGACATATTTATGTTCATGTATAAGTTGTATACAAGGCTCTTACCTCGCCCTCGCTGCAACGCTGTGTCCAACTCGTGTAAGGTTACATACTAGCACAGCTGCTCGCAGTAACTTCCTCTAACTCAGCCGTCATTCGTCCCGCTGCTGCAAAGCCCCTGACAGGCGGCGCTGCTTGTCACGTGGCTTCTGTTTACAGGTAGCGTAGCAGCTGATAGTAAGGACGTTCACACAACATCTGCAGCATGGGTGGCAGTCTTTAGGCTCTGTAAGTGAGTGTTCACAAGGAGGTTGACCGTGTTGGAGAGAAAAGTGTGTTGTTTGTGTCAACTTTACAGCAAGTCCCATGTAGAGGAAAATCTACATTTATTTTACATACAGGGAAATATTTGGCACCCCCTGGCTTGGAGAGTAAATGTTTTGTTTGTTTTTTTTATTTGAAAAGTATAAAAGTTTGTATGTAATAGGTTGAATGCACTTGGAATACCTGGGAGTTTTTACCATTGTCAAGTGAAAGGTCTATATTAACACTGTGAAAGGTCTTCTACTATAGTTTAGGTTCTTTTAGATTAAGTTCCATGTCATATTTCAGCCTGAAAAGCCTTCACGGAACAACGACACCCACAATCTACCTTTTTATTGTGAGATGAACACAAAAGTAATTTGAAATATGTAAATTCTAAATTTAAAAAGGTGTTAAACAAGGATACTGCTGTGCTCTGAAAACATAAACAGGTAGGCCTTCCCCTCATCTGTGCAATAGCAGCATATGAACCAGAAATGTAAAAAACACTGGGTTACGGTCTGGTGGGCCTCAGAGCGCCATCAGGCCTGCCAAACGATTTGATTTAAAAAAATTAATTGATTTACAAAGCTAGTTCTCTTCATATCAAAATGTGCCCACGAATATCACCTCAACAATCACAATCACATTATCATAAGAGACACTGTTACCTAGCAGCTCCCTCGGATGCAGTGACATTTATTTTTGCCACTAAAGCTGACAATGGCATAATAACACATATTTGCAGCCCAGTTTATTTTTTTCTCCTTTTTTTGTCTTGTGTTTTTTTTTTTTTTTTGTTTAGTTAGTTAGTTTGTCCTCAGAATCAGAAGTGGGCCTTAAGTAACAAAAGGTTGAGAACCACACTATCTTTTACTAATTCTGAATCAGCAAATTTGTATACAGCAACTATGTCTCTGGGTGAGCAGCCATTGTTTCAAAGGATGAAGCGAGGCTAACAATGCCGCCGGCCAAATGAAGTGGAAGCTCATGAATGAGGCTATTGTTACGTTAACAACCTCCTAACAGTCCATTGTACTTGAATTGCTTGAAGAGCACTGGGAATGAAAACCAAACAACTTTTGATGAAACCACATTTTGGGGCTAAAAAGGACATAAATCATTTATTAATTATTCATAAGTTGAATTTACACTATGGTCAGAATCAACCACATACAATTACTTTGAATACTGATCTAAATATACAATCAAATTTGGGAAATAACACATTTACACAGATAATTATTGAATTACTTTCACATTCACTGTAGTTGTATTGTCCACATTGTACCTTTAATAGTCTTTAAAGAATGAGACCTCCAGCCCAGAGTCACCTGTCCAGTAGTTCTTTACTCTGCTTTTACAAACCTGAGCTTATCAACATCATGTAAAAAGTTCACTTCTTAATGGGATCCAGTGTGTAAGAGTGGAGTTAGATTTCAAATGGACCAACAATTGTGGGTTGAGAAACATTATTAATATCACAAACGTGGAAAAAATAAACAAACTTAAAGGTCCAAAGTTTAACATTTAGGAGGATTTATTGGCAGAAATAAAATGTGATATACATTACTATGTTTTCATTAGTGTATAATCAACTGAATATAGGAATTGTTATATTTTTGTTATCTTAGAATGAGATAGTTGTCCACCATGTTGAAATGCCATATTTTTACAGTAGCCCTAAAGGGACAAACCAAACACTGGCTGTAGATGGGGGGCGAGTACATTTCTTGACCAATGTAGTTTCTCATTTGCTCTTGGAAGGGGATGAAGTGACAGACTTGTGATCTACAATTACACCACTAGATGTCACTAAACCCTACACACTGGGCCTTTAAAGACATTTTAGAAAATTTACTATTTGCTAAAATAACAGAGATGTTGAGACTTATATACTTTAATATCTACCTCATCCATCTTTTACAGTTTATGTTTCACTGTTAATACATAACGAATCTAGCTTTGACATCAAAGATTATAAAGAAGAAACACTACTCAGTTGATTTGGATACAAACAACAGCAGCAAAAGTCCACCAAGAAAGACCAAGTGATCCAAATCATAGTGAATTAGTAGAAAACACATGTGAAATACAGTTCTCTATTACATTGCTCAATACTATGACTAATAAGGTTGAAACTTAAAATTGTTATTGGGAAAACTGCTCTTTAAATCTTTCTTTTGGGTCTAATCCATACCACAGAACATCTTGATCCACTGCAGCCCAAGCCATTCGATCAGTGGTGAACGTGGCTGCCCACTGTCCTGATGGGGAAACTACAATAGCGCCTCCTGCACCTCGGACACGGTCTGCCATGTACTGCAGAGACAACTGTGAAGAATCTGCTACTGATCTACCTGCGTAGGGAAGAGGAAATAAATAAAATTACATGGACATAGTTAACGAACAAAACACAGTTAGGGAATAAATACACAACAAATAGAGAAATGTATTAATATATACTGCTATTGCTGCCATTTTCAGATAAGACCTTCAAAAAGTAAGCCAGCATGGTAAAACAACTAAATCTACATCAAAGTGGGAGCTTAGAGTAAACAGGCAAGATAACTTTTCATTATTTTTTCATTTGATAAAACAATAAAATAACTTCACAACACTTTAATGTTAGTCATTATTTATTTCACTGTTTGGTGTTTTAATGACTGTCCCAAAAAACAGAATGTCACATTAAATTAAGACAAGATGAAGTCTGATATATGTAGTTAAAAGAAGTGGTTGTTGTAGGTTTTGAAAGTGTGATCTTGTTACCTTGTTCAACATGTGACAGAATGAGTCTGGCCAATGTGACTTTGAGAATAGACTCTCCGTGACCAGTACAAGACACTGCACCACTCAGGTTGTCTGCGTATCCTCCAGAACCTCATTTACAAGAATGAAGAAGAAAACAACATAAAATCTACTCTTTTTTTTCTAAAGCTGCTCAATTTCCCAAAAGCTAAACTTAACAAACATTAATAAAAAAAACAAAGTTGAGAGTATAAATGATGCATTTTTTTCTCAAGGTGGATAAAGTCATTTATGATGTGATAACATCAGACTCGATTATGATCATGATGACTTCTAATTTCATTAAATAAAATTTGAACTGCAGTTGAAAGTGTAAAAGGTGCTATTTGATAAAGTGTAAGTAAATGATATATACCAATAATCGGAGAGTCTCCTACTCGGCCAACCATTTTATTTCTGATCCCTCCAGTTGATGTTGCAGACGCAACATTGCCAGCACAGTCCACAGCAACTGCCCCAACAGTATCATGGACCCTAGAATGAGAAACAAAGTACATCCACTATGAGTTTGTTTATCCGCAGCACTGCTGTAGCATGTCATTTTGATTAGACCATGTGGGCATTTCTCTTCTCTATTTTATTTCAGGGTGGTGTCACAACAGGCTATTCAGGCTGAAAGAAGTAGAGAGAGAGATTCATGAGGAAATTTAAGTCAAGAAAAGGACGGGTCAAAATAAAGTCAGACACTACAGACACTTACCACTGAGCGTTAAAATCTTCCATTACTCCAGTGACATAGTTCTTGCGCTTCTCCCATTCTTTCCTCTCATACTCAGTCACCAGTGTGTCAGTGGGAACTGTGACTGTGCCGATGCTCTCTGCAAACAGGTTTGCACCTCTGCTTGTCAACATGACGTGGGCAGTCTGAGATTTTCCATGGCAGCAAACATGCAAGGAAAAGGTAAAATAGAAAATATATTTCATAACATGTTCACTGATGGGTCACACCACTCAATACATTGTGATGTTATTATTAATTAGAGACTTTTATAGAAAAAAAGGATCTAAATCAGTGCCTTTCTAAGCTTCTCCTGTTGTTTCTTTCAAAGAGAGCCAAAAGCAAATTATTAAAGACACCTTCTCCATCACTGCCCGTGCCAGTGTCACAGGGTTGGCAATGTTCTTCACTGACGACACCGCACCACTGCCAAGTGTCCTTCCATCCATGATAATGGCATCCAGCTCCATTTCCCCATCAGCATTTAACACTGCTCCGTGCCCTACAATTAAATGTCACAATCAGTCACTAGCTCACACAGTAGATCAGACAAAAACGTGATGCAGGTGTTCTCAGAGCTGATTGTGCCAGGAAAGTGTTTAGTATCCATGTAAACTGGAGGGAACTTCGCTAAAGCTGAGAAACTAAATAATATCTAACAACAAAAGACAGACAGAGCGAGAGAATTGACAGGCTTGAGGTGTGATTTTCCTCCAACTGTGTGTGCAGAGGTTTTATGTTTCTTGCTATATCCTCACAAGTCCACAGGGTGGTGACAAAACAGTACAAAAGAAGCAGAAGAGTACAATACTAATAATAAATACTGATTCCACTTTGTATGCACTATATGGTACCTAAAATACCTCTAAGGCCCAAAATGTAGTTTTAATGCAGCTTCATTGTATAAAACTATGTCAAGCATGTTAGCAGAGTGTCTGTTTACACTGACAGAAAACCATATGTGCATGATCAACACCCTAAGAGAAAATTATTGATATTGATTATTTATAATAATTTTAAGTTCAAGTTGTCCACCAAAGATGTAACATTAATTTTAAGGAGCTGATATTTATTGTGAAGGTATAATATTTGTTTCAATGTCTAACAGTAGATGGCACTTAAACACAACTTAACACACAATTTGAGTATGAAAACCTGTGGATTGTTGTTGTTTGTGGTTTAGGAGCAAATTTAATATACATCAGACAAGACAGACTGGTTTACAGATGTAAAATAAAATAAAATAAATCTGTGATTAATGCCGGATGATGAGGATGAGCCCCACTCACATTCTGATTCTAGATGAATGTTGGTGTCACCACCAGCAGATGGCGACAGTGCACTACAGCTAAATCTAAGGGATCGGCTCCTGTGCTGACAGGTTGGA